TTACTGTACGCTTCCATGATGTACGTGTGTTTGCTTATATATGTATGCTCTTCCTCCGTCAATAATGATGTGGTATCTGGTTTCTTGGGACGTATCTATCAAATATATACGTGCAAAAATGCCTGTCTCTAACCTTCCTTCTCGCATGCCAATCGTTGCAGTGGCGGTGATAAAAGGAGAAGCAGACGCCGAGAGAGAGAGAGAGAGAGAGAGAGAGAGATAGAAAGATAGAGAGGCACACACAGAGAAAACCACGTATGAAGGGCACACCGTCCTCTCTCATCCCCTTCCATGCACACCGTCCACGTTTTCTCTTTTTTACTGCGGGCATCCGCCACCACCACCACCACCACCACCACCAGTTAACTCTCTCCCGTGGCAAGCGCCAGCACGTCGTCTCTGACTTTCCGCAGAAAAGCCTTGCGCTCGACCGCGTTCTCCAGCCGCTTCGCCGTTTTGGTCAAACTAATGCACAGTAAAAGTGGCCGCTGTTCCCCCTCGGCGCGAATGGCGTGGGCGATGACGCCGGCGACGATGTTCGTGAGGGGGTGGTCCCGCATTCCGAGCAGACACTCACACGGCGTGGACGGCAACGCATTGGGGTTCTCCCAGCTGGCACTCAGCCCCATTTCGTGCGAGTCGTGGCGCAGCACCACCCCGGGCACGCATGTGTCGTCCTCCGTGATGAGCACCCAGACGTGGTCGGAAAAGCACTGCTGCGAGACATGCACGCACGATGCCGTAGCACCTTCTCCGTGGGTAAAAGATCGCTGGCGGAACGTCACCAGCGGCCTCCCTTCCATGTAAAACGTGAGCGTAACTACGTGGAACCCAAACACAACCTCGAAGCACCGATACGGCGGCTCCTACCTGCTTCGCAGTGAGTGCAACGAATAGGGAAAATGCGTGCAATATATGAAAGAGGCCGCCCTCACCTACACATATATATATTTACACACCCACGAAACGAGTAAAAAAAAAAAAAGGAAGACATGCATACACACCACACATGCATAGATTGGTTCAAGGAGGCACACAACGCGGAGACGCCGAAGAAGACGGTGTGGAGAATACCGCCCGTTGAGGGGTGCAATGGCTGAAGGTGCGTAGAACGGTACTTGGTGCCCGGTTGCCACAATCATGTTGCCTGCAACCACAAAAATGCAGTCACACACTGCGAGAGAGAAACCCAAAGTAAAACAAAACAACAACAAAAAAGAGCAAACAAAAACACCACAACACATAGCTCTCTTAAAGCTTACAACGTTCCCTGTCTTTTGTCCCCACCACCACCTCTTCACGTCTCACCACGGCACGATCAAATCTGTTTGCTGCGCTCCCTTGTGTCGCTCTCAAGGCGCTCCAGGAATAAATCCACCATCAGCATCTCGATGGAAGTGTCCTCTGACCGAAGCAAAGGGATCGGATGATGCTCCTCTCCCCTCCAGTACACCAGTACTCTCTCTTGGTAGTTCTGCAGCATGTTTGCAACAACTGCGTCACAGTTGTACTTTACGAGATTCTGCAGCGCCTTCTTCTTCATTGCCTCTTCCTCAGTCTCCAACTTAAAGGTGATCAGGTACCGCGGAGCGGTGGCAGAGGATGCGCGCCACTCCTCGCTGATATACCCAAGCATCTTGGGTACGGATTCAAAGCAGACGTGAAGATCATTGTCGCTGCTGATCTTGTTCGTCGGTATGCGGCTCAGAGGCACAAAAAAATCCGACACCGCCGCGGCCGAAATAAGCATCATGGGCAAAGACAGAAGAGACTCTGCACGGCAGCTCAGGGCCTCTGAGAGAAGCCGCAAAAGAAACATGTATTCCATTAAGGTCTTAAAAGGAACGTAGAGGATGCGATCCCCGTGTTTTTCATACGCCTGCAGGGCGGCAAGGACGTTGGGTGATCGCACTGGTGCAACAAGCTCTGCAAAGAGCTGTTCCGTGCTCATCTGGTCAAGGTGCCGCCGGAATGGACGAGTGGAATTCTCCTGGTACAGAAAGACACATGCCCACCCACGCCGCAGAAGGGCTTCCACCGTGGCAGCACCACGAGAGCCGGTGCTAAAATTTGTGAGATAACGCACGGCGTTGACCTCCATAGGGACGACAGTGCCGCCGCTTGTGACGAGGGCCACACCTTTGCATGTCTGCTGTGACACCCGACGGGCAAACTCCAGCAGTTTCGCGTCCCACTTCTGCAGCGTCGCCATCGAGGCACGCGTCATGTTTTCCATGAGGAACTGCGAAAACGTATCCGCCGTCATCGTGCCTTGAGGCCCTCGCGCTTTCCCCACCCTCCCTTATATAGTAAATACTATTTTATCCTCTTCGTGGCTTCGCCTGCCCACTGACGCCCCTAAAGACCCAAACAGACACTCCGCCGATGATGAGCCGGACACACACGTGCGCACAAGCAGAGCTATTGAAGTTATGCCTTGCGAGGCGTAGTCGCAGCGCGTGAGCCTACCAGCATGAGACGCAAATAAAAATAAAAATAAATACAGGTACTCAGTCAACACCACCGTCTTTTATGCCGTGTGTGTGTGTGTGTGCGCGCGTGTCGGTGCCATTACCCAGCTGGGGCAGGGTCAAAGCCCCACGCAGCGAACTGTCGCATTACACACATACACAAAGACAAACACGCGGAAAGGGGAAGAAAGCAAAACAAAAACATCGATGGCAGCAACAAGAACAATACTACACGCATAGCATCTTTGTTATTTAGGTGCGGCCACACTGGCCAGCTCCGCCTGCAGCTCCTCCGTCCACTCCTGCAGCTGCTGCATCAGACTCCGCTTCGCACTCCATAGCGGCAGCACCGCCTCGTTGAAAGTTTGGCAGCACTGCCGCACCCTCCGCGGGGCGTACACCGCCGCGACACCAGACGGTAGCATAAAAGACACCTGCTCCTCCTCGCCGATTGCGTTGTTCGCCTCTTGCCCGCCACACTCGTCCTGTGCGTTACCATCTTCATCATCGGAGGAAAACGACGTGGCATCACGACACGAGACAAACTTAAAGGCCTTTTGGGTCGTCATGGGCACTAATTGCCGCAGTAAGCACAGCTCCGCGTCGTGCAGGCTTGCACAAGGTCCACGATGCTCTGTGGGGGTCGCCTTCACACTACTACCCTGTACCACATCCGTCGTCACCTCGCACGTCGTAGCCGTCTCCCTCGTGCCAGGTTGCGCGGGTGGCATGGCAGTACAGTGCTCAGCGATGCGTTGCGACAAGCGAACGGAGGTGTGGTAGTGCTCCTGTTCAATGCGCTGGAGGCGATCGATCCATGCATCTAAAAATTGCAGCGCAGCAGCCTCGTCTCCTTCCGCTCCCGTCTCTCCCCGAACGGCATCTTGCAGCTGGCGCAACGACGAGCTCACTTGCTGAAAAGCGGTGATGATGGTGTCGTTAAGAATCCCAGACAGGTCCGCTGCACTCAGTGCGCCGGACAGCGCGAGATGAAACTTGGCGTCCCACAGATGATAGACCTCGCAGCGGGTGTGCTGCAGCTGCAACGCCCTCGCGAGAGGATTCATGCCGCCACCCACAGACCACCGCCTGCTAGCCGTATACGGCACGTGTGTGTGCGTTTGCGGGGGCACAGCAAAGAAGAAGAAAAGGGAGAATGAGGATTAAAAAACAAAAAAAACACACGGTTGCCTGAGGAAGAAAAAAAGATGGCGAAAACGATATGGGGGAGTCCGTTTTACGTCATTAATGCAATAAAAATAAGATAAAGAGAGAAAACGAGCATATAAAAACAGAATGGGGGATTGTGCATGAAAGACGTATTCTCCATCACGTCTGTGCAAGGGATTACATCATTGTTACCAAGGCAACATTGAAGGGACTAGCTAAAAGTGGAGTATATATATATATATATATATATACGGCATAAATGTAAGTATGTGTGTGTGTGCGGGGCAGAGTGACGAGGTTTCTCTCCTTCACCGTCTCACTGCTTCCTCACCTCACAACACGCATACCACATGCACACGAATGCAGATACAAATAGAAACATACATTCACTGAGCCGCTCGTGCAATGACAGATTGCAAATACCTTCGTGTGATATATATGAGTCTTGTCTTTGTCTTTCCTTTTTACAAGACACCTGTGCTCATCCACTCCAATTGCGCCTTCACATCGTAGCAGACAATAGGCACGTACCCGCGACCACCGCCGGCGTGCTTAAAATAATGCTCGCCAAGCGCAAAGCCCAACGCAACGCGTGCCTGATCCTCGAGGTCTTGATTCTTCTGACGACACGCCGCCTGAAAGTTTGCACGGAAGTACTGCAGCGCCATCTCCTCATTGCCGTTACTCTTGCAGGCCTGCCCCAGCTGCATGGTGGCAAGGCAGACACCCTCCAGGTCTCCGGTTTCACTAGACAGCGACAGCGCTCGCCGCAGTGAGTTCATCGCCTCCGAGTTTAGGTGCATGCGTTCCTGCAGACTGGCGACAACCAAGGCGGCCTTTTGCTCTCTATCCAAAAGTTTTTCTCGCTGTGATACGTCCAAGGAAGCTTGCTGATATTCGAGGGCTCCTTGCAGGTCACCTAGCTGTTCACATAAGTAGCCGAGAGCGCTATATCCAGCCGCTTCGTCCATGGCACTTCCTACGCGCTTGGCGACGGCGACGGCACTCTCAAAGAACCGCTTTGCCTCCTCGGGGCTCGTGCGTTTCAGCTCCTCCCCCAGCAACTGGTACGTTCGCATGAGGTGGTGGCTTGCCTCAAGGGCAGTCTTCTCATCCTCTATTGCCAGGGCCAATTTATACATCGTTTCGTAGAGCATCAGTGCCTTACGAAACTGCTTCCTCCGCTCAAAAAAAGCGGCGTAGGCGCCGCGCACTTCTTGTTCCAGTGGTCGAAATAGCGACTCCATTGCAAAACACAGTGCCGTCTCGTAGTACCAAGCCGCCTCGTCATGGTCGCGTTCGCCCTCAAAGTAGTCTGCCAGTGCTTGGCAGCGTTCATAGACCAGGTGGAATTCGCTCTGTCGGCGCAACACCTCAATCGCGGAGAGTTGACCCTTCACCCACTCGAGGCGGTCGTCGGGAATGGTGAAGTGCGTCTGGGCGAGCTCGTCGACGCACACAGGCTCACGGTGGGAGAGCTCGAAAAGGTGAATGAAGGTTGCCACGCACCCCTCCGAAAGGGCATCTACGCAGAGGCGAAACCGCACCGAGTCCTTCTCGCTCTGACAGACGACGATGCTTTCCAACTGTCCCGCGGCGGTGGAGAGACCACCCGGAGCCGGGGCGGCACTCCTGTCCGGGTGACCGTGTCGTGTTGTGCCGAAGCCGAAGGCAGAAACCACCAATGCCTCACGCTGCTCCCTTGAAATGAGGGAATCCCGACGGCGGGAAAAACCCGTGAAAGCTGAGATGGGGCTTTCAGGCGGGATGAGGAGCTGCGACTGCGAGTGTGCCCCTGCCGGGGCCTGTGGGGGGCAGATTGCCAACGCCATCTCCTTCCGCTTCGCAAACTCCTCCGCCTCCATGTAATCCCCCACAAACTCCACCCCACGCTTCTGCATGACTACAACTCCAAGTGATGAGAGCGAAACAACAACAACAAAAATGTGGGGGTTAAAAAAAAAAACAAAAAAAACTTGCCCTTGCCGACTCTGTGGCAAGGTTGCTTGCTGCCTCACACTCACAAGCTGGCACGAGCCCACAAAGAGAGAAAACAGGAAAGAAAAAGAAAAAAACCATACAACATGATGCGGCAGCCTTAGGCCGGAAACGACAAGATAGCAAAGGACTGCAAGTTTACAAGGGCCGTGCACATGGATGCATCCCATCAACGCAGAGGGGATTCATATACATAAATATATCTTTGTCTTCTTCTTCCAATGCCTCCCACACAACCGTGTTTTTTCTCTCTCCGTCCTCAAGTTCTTTCCTCGAGCGCTCTGTTTAGGGTCAAATGTTCGCCTTTGAAATGCCTCATAAATGTCATTATATAAATTAATGTACACATAATTTATCAAAAACACATTCGGACAGGTAAAGAAAAGAAAAGAAAAAAAAAACAACAACATTTATAATGAAGACGACGTAATGTTGGAAGACGAAGAAAAAGATAGAGAGGGAAAATTCCAATGAGGCGTGATTCATCCTGCTAGTACTTCTGCAACACCTCAGGTTTGACGGGTTGCGGAATAGTGATCTTCAGCCCCTCCACGCGGGACATGGCCCGCACCGCAGTCTCACGGCCGCACGCATTTCCACTCCACGAGCGACGCGTGACACCGTTCATAACATCCCACAAAAGCATTAGCTTGGCACGGCGCTCGGCGTCGGCGGAGCCGTCAAGCACTAGGCAGAAGCCACCGTTCATGGCCTCGCCCCAGCCTGTACCACCGCCGTTATGCAGCGAGACCCAGGTTGCGCCACGGAAGGAGTCACCAATGACATTCTGCACGGCCATGTCCGCAGTGAGGGCGGAACCGTCGTACAGGTCAGAGGTTTCACGGAAGGGGGAATCCGTTCCGCTCACGTCGTGGTGATCGCGCGAGAGCACCACCGGCCCCTTAAGCCGCCCGTCGCGGATGGCGTCGTTGAAGTTCTTGGCGATGGTCTGCCTTCCCTCGCAGTCGGCGTACAGAATGCGAGCTTGTGAACCCACAACGAGCTTATTCTCGCCAGCCTGCTTAATCCAAAGGAGGTTGTCCGAGATCTGCTCCTGTGACTTGATGGCGGCATCCTTCATCAGCGTCTCCAGCGTTTCCGCGGCAATTTTGTCGGTGAGCTCGAGGTCCTCAGGTAGACACGAGGAACAGACCCAGCGGAAGGGGCCAAAGCCAAGCGCAAACACGTCACCCATAATATCCTGTACATATGATGGGTAGCGGAAGCAGTTGACTCTTCGCACCTTATCATCGGGAGCCCACACCTGCGCCCCTGCACGAGAGGCCTCCAGAAGGAAGCTGTTGCCGTAATCCCAAAAGTGCAGACCACGCGCAGCCATGGCATTGATGGCGGTAACCTGGCGACGCAGGGACTCCTGCACAAGCTCCTTGAACTTGTCTGGATTCTCCGTCATCATCTTCTTGCTTTCCTCAAACGTGAGCTGCACAGGGTAGTACCCACCATTAAACGGGTTGTGGCAACTTGTTTGGTCAGAGCCGAGGTGGACAATGTTATCCTTTTCCTGCACCAGGCGTTCCCACACGGTCACAACATTGCCGAGGTAGCCAATGCTAACCGCCTCCTTGGCGGCGGCGGCGGCGCGGACCCGCTTGAGGAGGGTCTCCACATCCGTTTCCACCTCCATCAACCATCCCTGCTCTTTCCGTTTGTAGAGGGCACTGGGGTCAACTTCAGCCACGACGACGACAGCACGGCAAATAACACCGGCCTTTCCCTGTGCCCCACTCATACCACCAAGGCCGCTGGTCAAGACGACTTTTCCTGCGAGGTCATGTACGCCGAGGTATTTGCGTCCGGCATTACGGAATGTGATGGTCGTGCCGTGTACAATGCCTTGCGGGCCAATGTAGCAGAAGGAGCCAGCTGTCATCTGACCATACTGTGTGCACCCCATCGCGTAAAGGCGGTCGTACTGCTCACGGGAAGAGTAGTTTGGCACCATCATGCCGTTTGTAATCACTGCACGAGGGGCATCCGGGTGGCTTGGAAAGAGACCCAGCGGGTGACCTGAATAAAGTGCAAGGGTTTGATGGTCCGTCATCTCACTCAGGTACTTCATCACCAGACAGAACTGCCCCCAGTTGTTGAGCACCCCCCCGTTACCACCGTAGGTGATGAGCTCGTGGGGAAACATGGCCACACGAGCGTCAAGGTTGTTCATGATCATCAGCATCATCGCCGCCGCAAACTTGCTCTTGGCGGGGTAGTCAGTGATGGGGTAGGCCTTCATCTCGTACTGGGTGGGACGGAGGCGGTACATGTAGATGTGCCCATAGTCATCCAACTCCTTGTTGAACTCCTCTGCGAGTAGTTCGTGATCGGCGGGGTTGAAATAACGCAGGGCATTAGCAAGTGCCTGACGACGATCCTCAGGGGACAGGTTTGGCGTGCGCCTGGGCGCGTGCGGAACATTCGGATCAAGCGCTTTGCATGGCGGCGGGAGCGGCGACGGGATGCCCACAGCGAGACTCTTGAGCACTTCCTTCATAGGCGTCATTTTGTCAAAGAAACAAACAATAAATCACTCAAGATGTCCTCGGAATAAATAAATAAATTTATCTCTTTTTGATAATTGCGTGGTTTCTTTTCAGAAGCATGGATACAGAGAGAGAGTTAAAACAAACAGGGAAATACACAAGAAAGCGCACAACGTTATCACGTATATGCATGCGCACGTACAGTGCGGATAAATAAATAAACCATACGGACACACAAATGCACACAGTGAGGGAGAGTGGAAGGGAGGAAGACATTAGTAGAGGATGCGTGCGCATCACTCCGTTTCTGCCTCTGAGCGAAGCCGCTTACGCAGGGCCTGCATGCTTGCCATGCCACTCACAGTCACGGTGTTCGCCAGTCCCAGTACGGCACCACACCGCACGGAGAAGCCCTCGTCACCGTAGCCCTCCACCCAACTCCCGCGTGTTACCGGTGGGTCCGTTGGCAGCTCCGGGAGGCGACCCCCGCGGTCCCAGCCTTGATTCGTCAAATGGTACAACACGGCCGTCAGGTACTGCCGCCCAAACGGAGTTTCCTCAATCTCCTTCTTCACCGCCGCGACGACACTTTCATCCTCCGCCTCATCCGTCGGCTCACCCTTCACGCTGCCCAGTGTTGTACCCCTGTGCTTCGCGCCGTACTCGATGAAGCCAATGCCCCGGCTGGAGCCGTTCGTCGGGTTTGTGTACAGACGCACCGTCACCGGTGGGGCGGCCGGGTGCACCTGCACAAGGTGGTTTCTCACCTGCGCCTCGCTGGTGTGCCATGGGAAGCCAAAAACAATGATGACGTTGGCGGCTCGCCGAAGTGCCGCGGAGGGTTCCACCAAACGCGGCTTTCCATCCATCGCCAGCGGGCCGCCAACACCGGCGCAGCGAACGTCAACACTATACTGCTCCTCCTCGCCGCCTTTTCTCCCACGGCCCCCAACAAACCAAACCACACACAATCCCCTTCTGTACGGGCGGGAAAGAAGCAGCATACACACAGAGCGTCGTGTGAAGTGGCACCGTGACGAGCGTGCATATAAGAATATTGTGACACACACACACACACAAGACTAAAAGCACATACCAACTGGAAAACACTGCTAATGTAAAGATGGACTCACTCCCCATGCAGCCACAGGTGTAAAAAAGAGTCTGTAATTATTTCATTGACCTTTTTTTTTGTGTTTGGTTTGTTTCTCCAACATTTTCTCTTCACCTGCTTCCCCCTGTAAGACACGTCACGCCTCTTTCTCTCACTCCTGCAGCAGCAGCAGCAGCAGCAACAACATTTTGCTCCTCATGCTCCTATAACCTGCGCGGCAATACCGCGGCCTGCTGTTCAAGGCTCCTTTTCACCTCTGCCGAAAGCGACAAAAGACCGCGACTGTCGCAGTCCATAATCCTCTGCAGTTGTGCCCTGGTGAACCCGTCCTGTGCGTGTTCCCGCAGCAGCCGCAGACATCCATCTTCCAGGCCCCACTCTCTCGTCCAGCGCGGGCAGTCACAGAGCAACATCGACACACATCGCGCAGAGCCCCGTTCCCTTAGGTGCATGTAACTAACCAGCGGCACCAGCAGCCTCGCAATCACTTCGACGTCCTTGCGTGCATTTGACGCCTGTGTATCAGAAGCGGCAAGGGGCTCCGTCAAGGTATGCTGCACTTTATCTAGGCATGCGGCGATAATAGCCGCCTGCAACGACGTCAACGACTGCTGTGATGGGGACGTTGATGACAAGGTGTTTTCCAATGTATTCTTCAACGCCGCAATGACGGCGTAAACAAGGTCGCCGTGCACTTGCAGGAATGTGTTACCGACAAGAAGATTGATGAGTACCACGAGACTCAGCGGCTGTCCGTCTTTGCGGAATTGCTTCGCCACAGCACTTTCATGCAGCCGCCGCAGTGTCTTTTGCAGCTGCCCATGTGCAGTGTTTGTCGTTGCAACCTCCGGAGTCGCCTTCGCGTCACTACCGCCCGCTGGCTTGTCTGCCGCAGCGTCGGTGGGGAACCGCAGCTGCAACTCCCCCAACCCGAAAAACACGGCCACCGGTGCGTTTGGAAGCTCAGAGTAGCAGCGCCACAAGTCTGTGCTAAAGGCCTCTGCCAGCGACTCCCGCACGTACTCTGGAACCACTGGGCTGTACACCCGCACTAACATCCGCAGCAGCTGGTGCAGATCCACATCGTGGAAGGTGGTGGGGTGCAGGGCAAGCCGTTTCCACGCAGCTGCCTCAGGGATGCGATCGCTCGGCCACCGCCCCAAGGCGTGCACAACACCAACAAAAGTGCATACGGCAAACTCCCGTTCCGTCCAGCAGGCATCACTCGCCGCGAGGCCCTCAAATGCGCGTGTGAGGACCGTAGTCTCCCCCACCAATTCCCTCAGCAACTGCACACCACGCGGCTGCGAGTCATCGACGGGCGATACCGAGGATGACGCAGAAGGCGTGGATGAAACGGGAACAGCCGACATGAGCATTTGGTTCAGCATGGCGCGAAACTCCCTCTCGCTCTGAAGGGAGAGGGTGCTCTGCAACGGGAAGGTGCTTGATAGCCGCAACACGTCATTCCACGCGGTGATTTGCGTGGCGAAGGACCACAAGGCAACGTACTCCACAGACGACAGCGTGTCCGCCGGTGTGGCGAGAACGGACTCCAGCAACGCGGCCTCGAATGCGCGTTTCTCGGCCTCCAGCTCAAGCGGGAAGCGCTGAACGGCCTGCAGTGTCTGTCGAAGACCTAGCAGCACCGCTGGCGTAGGCGGCCGCTGCGCCTTCTCCGCAAGGTGCTCCAGCATTACACGATGATCCACATAGTCGAGAAGGGCATACCGCTGAATCAACTTGGCGTTGAACGTCGTCAGCAGCTCTGAATTACGCCGCAAGTGCTTCATGAGGGCCAGCTGTGTCAGCCGGTTCATCGGCCGCACCAGACGGAAGGGCAAGGAGTCCATTGGTGCCGCTCCCGCAATGACGAGATACTGGCAAGGAAGGAAGGAAGGGAGGGAGAGAGAGAGAGAGAGAGAGCTTCCTACAGCCAATCCGCTGAGTGGGCAGAGGTGTGAGTGGTGGCAAGCATGCGTGTTTGTGCGTGTGCGGCAGCGAACAAAGAAGAGAGAGAATAAATAAGTGCGCTTGCGGCAGCTATAATATATATATATATATATTATATGGATGAGGTCAGTGCGCGTGTGGGGGTGGGGGCACAGGAATGCGTAAAACAAATCAAAAGAGAAACAAAAACAAACGCCCAAGGAAACGGCACAACACACACACACACACACACACACCGCAATGCACGACACCATCAGACGCTGAGTGAACGAGAAATATAGGCAGGAAACGCGTCCATGTTTGCTCTTTGTCTGCATCCACTTCTTTTGTTTTCTTTTGCTGCTCCTCCCCCAATCTCCCAATCCTTCTGTTGCTCTGCGCTGTGGGAATCACTGTCAGCCTGCCCACATTACTGACGGGTGCGGCATACATATAAGGCATGGGGGGAAATCTATCTGAGATCTAAAAATGCATCTTGCAGGTCCAAAATAATAAATATAATAATAATAATAATAATAAAATGTAACACCACTATCCTTCTCTTTCAAAAAACAAAACAAACAAAAAGGTACCTGTACACAGACAGACAGACAGACACTACCTGTCTGTCTATGGGCACATGGAGCGACTCCGGACTACCTTTCACCGCGTAAAGACGTCCGCCGCGAGTCCGACAAGGCACTATCACTACGAAGCCGCTTCATCCTACCAACACCGCCAACGCCCGCCGTGCGGTTCACGTCTTTGCCCGAGAGAGACAACGGCCGCGACGACTCCCCACACGCAACAGCAGACGTACTAGGTGTATTCCCCGCGCTAGCGACAGCGGGGGCTCCTGTGGTTGCTGTTGTGGCTGCCGTGGCGGTCGTGGCAGTGGATATCGACGAGTTGGAGGACCGAGGCGGTGGCATGTTCCCCATCTGCACCAACGCCTTCAGCGAGGCGCTGGCCGCGTTCACACGGAAGGCCTCATTGATATGTTGCAGCGACTCCGCCAGGTTGTCGCTAACAGCGCAGGGGGGGAAGTACTCCTTACTACTCTCCACCGCGTCGCGGCACAGGTTCCGCACAAGGTGCCGAAACGGCAACACCTCTGCAGGTGATGTTGTCTGCCTCGCAGCGGCAGCGATACTGCTCTCAAAGAGGCGGTGCTCATCTTCGAGCTCCTTGTCTAACCTGGCCTGTTCCCGCGCGTGCGCAGACAGCACGTCCCGCACCTGCTCCTGCATCGTGCGCTCCAGAGACTCCAGCGACGCCCGGCGGCGCCCCTGCAACGCCTGCACCACCGCACAGTGACGCCCTGTAACGTTAAGCACCTCCTGGGAGAGGCTGCGGAAACCATCATTGATACGCTTCACAAGTCTCACCGCCTCCTCCTCATAGTCCCGAGAAAACGCCAAAGCCTCTGCATCTTCCGCACATCCGCCCTTTTCCCCCGCTTGCGGCTCCCCATTTCCCTCACGCAGTACGTCTGCACGCCACGCCTCGAGTTGCTCCACCACAGTCTCTGCACTCCGCTGCGCTGCTTCGTGCGCCCCACGTACGGCCTCCTGCACAACTCGCTGCAGTGAACCCATCTGCGCATCAAAATGAAGCAGTGCCTCATGATAGGTCAGCTTGAACCGCCGCAACTCATCCTCCTTTTCTTCCATCATGGACCGTAAAATGGTGGCCTGTGAGGTGTTTATATGCTGCATAGCATCGCTCTGCTGCCTCTCCCGCATCAAGTCTTCGACATCCACCTTTAATGACTGGTGTTCCTCCGCTATCTGCTGAAGTCGCTCATGCTCCTCTCGGTTGACGTAGTATCCGCCGCGCTCCAGAACACGCTCCTGCAGACGATTGCGCAGTCGTTGATTCTCCAATTCAAAGGAGCGAAGGCGCACAAGCAGCCTTTCTCGCTCCGTGTTGGCGGCATTTCGAATGGACCTCGCCTTCACAGCGTACAAAAGGGTGGACTTCGTCTCTTCAATGTCGCGTCCCACTGCGGAGACGCAGGCGATCATGAGGGTTCTCGCCGTCCCACCAATGGAGTCTCGAAGCAGTTCTGTGAGTTTGGAGTCGCGGTAGGGCACATGGCTGGGCCGCGTCGCCTCATTCGAGTTTGCAAGCGCCAAAAAGACACTTTTCAACGCCAACAACGACTTATTAATTTTCCCCGTTTCATTTGCTGCTATTCCGCTCGCCTGGGATTTCTTGAGACTCTCACTACCCGCCAGATCCACCATGAAGAGGTGCGCCACGTCCACCGTCTCCGTGTAGGTGTTTTGCTCCTCAAAGTCAAGAATCAAAACGACATGGGAGCGGCTGCTGCGCTCATTCATGAGCGTCGTGGCGGTGCGCCGCCAACCAAGGCCACGCTTAATCGCCTCATGAGCCTCGCTGAGGCGAGACAGTGTCAACTTTACCATCACCTTTGGAAAGCCGGCAACAAGGGTGACCTCCGCATCTCCGTTATCGCTCAACATATCTGTAAGCTTTTCATTGTAGATTTCAATCATGGAAAGCGTTAGCGCACACTTCGTCTCCTCCAACGTCCTTTGCTGCACGTGCTCCAGCATCGCGGCAATCATGCGGTGAGCAATGCCGTTTGTTTCGCCCTCTGCACCCAGCATTGTGTGGGTCTTGCCGGTGCCTGTCTGCCCGTAGACCATCACCGTCCCGTGCAGGCCATCCTTGACGCTCTGCAGAATGGGCTGACAAACTGCAAATACCTCCTCTTGCGTGGCCGTGGAGGGAAAGATGAAGTCAGGGTCGTATGTCTTGTTGTCAAGAAGGATGCGGCGCCCCTGTTGGAAGTCCAGCCCAACCGCAGGGCGCTCATTCTCAAAGAGCGGACGACATCGCACTGCCACTTTGATGTTACTCATTTCTGTCTAAACCAATCGTTTCTGTTACCGTCGTTACCGCTGTTGTCGCTCTTAGCAACGCCTCTTGCACACACGCACACGCCCAGTCACAGAAACAGAAACAGAGAGGCAGCCTGTGCGTCGGTGAATATATATATATGTCTATGTGTGTGTGTGTGTGTGTGCCTCTACGCGTGTGCCGCTCTGTCGTCCTCGCACTTACAAGGTGGGGACAGCGCAGCAGACCTTGTCGTAGCCGCGCAACAAATGAAAGGAAAAAGAAAAAAAATATCCAAAAGAGGAAGGGGTACAAAATTACGCGGGAATAAAACACTGAAAACCGGCCCAGTCATCAAGAAGCAGCCCACACTCAGTCAGAAAACGAAAAAAAAAAAAACTGCCTTCGTTTCATTCCCACTTTCTTCAGATTGATTGACCCCCTCCCACTCACCGTTCTCGTTCTTTTGTTTCGCACCGCACACGCTGCACTCCTACCAGCAGATGATGGGGCGGGCGCAAAGCAAACATAACACACACACACTCGCACGCACGCACAGGCACGAGACGGCGGCAGTCCCTCACCGACGCATCGCAAACGACTTGAAGGTGTACGCGTCCCCCGAGGAGACGATCGTGGCGTCCACGCCCTCCACCCGTGACTTGGGTGAGCCGGTGCGGCACCACTCCACGAGGCTGTCGACGTTCTCCTTTGGGCCCTCCGCCATCACCTCGACGCGGCCGTCGTCCAAGTTGCGCACCCAGCCACGCACCCCACGCTCATTCGCCGCCCGGACGGTGTATTTGCGGTAAAACACACCCTGCACGCGGCCCCACACAAAGATGTGGCAGACAACGATAACCGGCCTTGGAGCGGACATTGCTTCCCCCGCGCTTTGCCGCAGATGGACCCCCGCACTGCCCGGCGACGGGCAGCCGCAAAAAAGAGAAGAGAGAGAGAGAGGGAGATGCACCGGGCGTGCAAACGGGGTGTTTTCCCCAGCAACGTCACACGTGGCATTTCCATCGCTGCACCGGGGCCGAAATCCTCCGATTTTAAAAATCAAATAATAATAATAATAACAACAAAAGATGTATTGTCTATCTTCACTGCCCCGCACCAACTCCCAGCAACTCACAGAGGAGACGGCGCCACACCTTCTCCCGCCCAAAGAGTTCGTCCCCACAAACATTTCCTTGTCGGCCACGAAACAACACCACCAACAGCAAAAGCACACACAAAAAATAAATAAAATAGTACTCTGCGGCGGTACGCATACACGGCAGCAAAGAAAGAGGCTGAAGCAGCGAAGAGAGCGACAGGAAGCGGCGGGGGTGGCGCGGTACTAATAATGATGATAACACCATAACACTAACGGTAACTCCAGTGGTCACAGTGACGGCGGCAATAATGATGATAAAAGTAATAATGGAGAGGAAGGGGGCGTCCGTGTGGGCTAATGGGCAACACACATGAAAGTAACAAACGAAGAAGAAGAGTCCCGACGCGTCTGTCGGTGTGAATACGTCGGTGAGGGGGATCACCACTGCCGCACCCCCCACAGGTCATTCTTCACGATAAAACAACTCCACCGTACCCACCAATGTGTTACAGCGAGGCGCAGTGTGAACGGAAATATGACAAAATAACATAAAAAAACAAACAAACAAACAAAAAAAAAAAACAACAACAAAATGAACAAAACGAAGAGACAAGTAGCTAAGAATAAACACAGAGCGAGGACATCTCATGACTCCATCGCCTTGATGGACGCGTTCACCAAATTTTGCAGAGCCTGCGCCTCGCTGCAGAGACGACTCTGCTCCTGCGGCGACAGTTGCGACCCCGCGGCGACCAATTCACATATGGCGTCAACCTTCACCTTCACACGTTGCTCCATAATAGTCTGCAGCGCACGACGATCCTTTTTGTGAGTATTGAGCGACTTGGTGAGGGTTTCTATCTCCTCACTGACACCAACATGGGAGCTACGCAGCTGCTCTTCCAACTGACGAACGATGACATCTTTTTCCTGCACCACACGTCGCCATTCCTCCTCCTTTTTGGCATGGCTGCTCTGCAGCGCCTTCCGCTGTCCCTCTAACTCATATGGGGCTCTCGCGACAACCGGAGGTGCCGCCTTTAACGTGGAGGATGAAGCAATAGCTGCATCCTCTGCGGTATGAGTAGTGTTGTTACTGTGGTTACCCCTACCATTACCACTGCTGCTATTACTAGTCACGCTAATACTGTGATGGGTTGCCGAAACACGTGCAGCGACTGCCGTCTCAACAACATGTTTCATTTCGGAGCAAAGATGCTCCTCTAATTGTTGCAGGGCCACGCACAAGTTGTTGATCTCCACCCGCTGGGCCGCATTGGTGCAGCACTCCAGCGCCTTCCGCGACTGCACAGTCAACGTATCCACCTTATTCATTAGCCGCATGCGTTGTTCACGCTCCTGTGCGAGTTGCTGATGCAACGCCTGTGTGCAGCCCTCGTACGTCTTGCGCACAATCCCTTGCTGCTCATCAATATGACGCCGCGTCCGAGCAACGACGTCTTGAACGGCGGGATGCTGCGCCTTGAAGCCGCTCAGTAACTTCTCGATGGTGTTGTTTTTTTGTTCGCTTTCCAGCAGACGGCTCCTGAGTGAGTCGAGTTCCTGGCACTGCTGCCAGATGTGGCTGTCCAGCTGCTCCCGCACCATCTTCTCTGCGCGTTCCCGGACAAGTTCCACCAGCTGACGCTGCACTGCACTGTCCACCGGCAGCGTCGTCGTCTGCTGCTGCTGCTGCTGCTGCGGTAGTAGTGGTGATGGTGGTGATGCCATCGATGGTGCGTGGGGAATTGCAAGCAGCAACTCCAGCATCTTCGCCTCGGCTGTAAGCAAGACAGATGCGTTGGCATCAGACCGGTACCGCACTTCACCACCGTCGGCGCCTGCCTGAACACGTGTCCGCTGCAAATATTCCTCTGCGCGCGCCCTTGAAAAAGGTGTGGCAAAATTACTATTGAGATTCTCTTTCAGTTGTTGCTGCTGCACCTCCAACGTCTCCTCCAGCGTTTGGATGTGTGCATCGTACGCGTCCACCTCCTCCTGCAATTGCAGGATCATCTCATCTCGCTCATTCAGCCGTGTCGTAAGGTTCAACATTATATCGCGCTGCTTCAGCAGCAGCTGCTTGTATCTATCCACCTGCGCCTTTTCCTCTTCCATGACTTGCCGCTCACGGTCGAGTTCATCGAGGCGTAGGGCGTACTCGTCTGATGTGCGGGGAACGCCCTTAAAGCCACCGTTTTGTAGCATCCCCTCTAATTCTTGAATGCGCTCCTCGAAGCGCTTCCGCACCGTCAGCTCCTGCTGGTGGGCACGTGAGGACTCCTGCAACGCCTCCAGCGCGGCCTCACAATCCTCTTCCGCGCGACGCATGCCTTGTCGCAGCTCGGAGAGTATGCCTGGATCAACGCCTCCGCCAAGCTGCTGAGATGTGGTGTCACGCTCCTGGAGCTGGTGTCGGAGCATCTTCAGCTCCTGCTCGTACTTGCGCAGCAGCGTCGCCTGGTCCAGATCCTCGTTGATGAAGGCGGTGTTCTTGATGTTCTTAGCACGGTTGGCGAATGCAAGCGTGGAGAGAGACTCTGTGTACGACTCCAGCGCGGGGGAGATGCAGGCGATAAGCGTCGTCTTGCAGTTGCCGCCGAGGGAGTCCCGCAGAGCGCTTGTCAAGACAGAATTTCGAAACGGCACGTGTCGCTGACGACCGCCGCTTTTGCTTGCGAGAGCCGCGATGACGTTGCCGAGCTCATGCAGAGATTTGTTAATTTTCTTCGTTTCCTCCAGCCGCTGACCCGTGACAGACGCCTGCCGCAGCTTCTCGCTTCCGGCCAGATCGACAATGTTAAGTTTGCCAAACCGGTACGAGGTGGGGTTCGTCTCATCTCCCTCCATCACCTCCACAATGATGGTGAACATGGCGTGGGAGCGCGAGGACAGCTCACTCATCCTTGTAGCGCTAGTCGCACGCAGCGAGGTGCCGCGTTCAATGAGGCCATACACGTCATGCGGGGAGCGGACAATCCACTCCGAGAGGCCCTCTACGTACACGCCACGCTGCGGTGTATGACGCACAGTGAGGGCCCGCCCCGCAGTCGGCTTCAGCAGGTCTGAAATCACCTCGTTATATATCTGCATGTACGAGGCACGAACCAAAAAGCGCATATTCTCACGGCGGCTCGCGTTAATGGAGGTGAACAGCTCCTCAATGGCTCGAGGAATAATCCCTCGCTGCTCTTCACTTGTGAATCCTTCCATGGTGTACGTCTTGCCGGTACCCGTCTGGCCGTACGCCATGAGTGTAGCATTGTACCCCTGCATCACTGAAAAAACCGCTGGCTGGGCACTGCGTTCGTACACCTCACACTGCAGGGTCTGTTTGCCGTAGACGTAATCAAACGTAAAAGTCTGCCGGGAGTACACCCCGCCACGGCCATCCTCCGTGTCAAGTGTCTCACAGAGCGTGATGGAGCGACGGTCATTTGCGATACCCACCACGTCGACGTAGGGGCGATAGCCGTTTAATTCCCGTTGCACCGGTGGACGCACACGAATCACCACCTTGAAGTTTGACTCACTACCCTCGTCACAGCCAGTGCCACTGAAGTTTGTGAGGGCGTTGCGGTGGACTGGAGAGAGGGCAGAGGTGGAGGTAGGGGACAAGTAGTCGTCGTCGGGGTCGTGTCTGGCCCCAGTGCTGGTGCTGCTGAAAAGGGTGTCGCCGGGGTTTGGCGCCGGTCGCGAGGCTCTACCGCCACGCAGCGGCGACCCCCGCGTCGGTGACATTTCAACGCGGTGCGGGTCTCGGTAGGCCATTTGCCCTCACAGACGCCCACGCACGGACAACCCAGCAGTATCCCCGCCTTTTCTCGGGGACACGCGAAGGAAACAAGAGGAGGAATAATAATAATTAATAATGTGTATGCCTCTAAACCCACACGGTGTGTGAAAGAGAGGTCTGCCTCACGCGAGCAACGCCGAGTGACCGCCTCTCACCTCCCCCGTTCCCACTCACCCGTGCTCAAAGCAAATTCACGCACGCACAATGAATCAAGTGCTGTGTGTGTGTGTGTGTTTGTGTGCGTGTGTGTGTAGGGGCCGTCGGAGAGAGTCACACTACGGGACGCAGAGGAAACTAACTTATCAAAAGCCAACAACGAATATACATATATATATGTAGAGGAGAAAAGTGAGAAGTGAATAAAGCAAAGAAAAAAAAAAAACAAGCACCAACCACCGCAACAGTAACAAATGTGCACTGAAATGCACAGACGCACCTGCACTCAAGAATGCAAATGGAATATGAGCTATGAAGCTAATGGCACTTTCCGCCTGTAACAATGCTACGCGAAGCGTAAAGTCAAAAAGGTAATACCTCCGCTTCTCCACCCGGTGCTCCTCCTGCATCACGATGCAGCTCTATTTGTTACCACACAATTTATCCCCTTCTCTCTCCACAGATGTATGTGTATTTATTTATCTCACTCCTGCCACTACACAACCGCGAGCTCTGGTGCACATGTACGTGCACGGGAACAGAGAAACAGAACGGTTTGTACACCACCCGCACAGGCACTGCTGGACATGGGTATTGGAATACGAAAAATAAGATGAACATCAATGAATCAAAGAACAATTGGGGTGGATGGAACACCTTCACTCTCACGCTCTCTCGCTTTCCGGCTTGCCTTCTCGCTTCGTCTCTATGGTCATGCTGGTGCTGGTGGGGAGGGGAGCGGGGGTGGTTTCTCCCTGTGGTGGTAGCAGCTGAGACCGTGCGGGGCTGAGTGCCGCCTCACTCCCATCCCCACCAGCGCCCATGGTTATCACGCACCTCTTTTGTCTTCGTTGCCTCCCAATCTACAAAACAAAACGACGCTGCACATATATGCCCTGTAAAAAGCAAGAAGACAAAAAAAAAAGTAGTGGCAGGGAAAAGCGCGTCTCGTGGTGAAGCTCTATCCCCCGCTCATTCCCTTCTTTTCAGCATGATTCCCATCTTTTCCTTCTCCCTAATAATAAAGGGGTATAATGTCTAAGCGGCGCCAGAAAAAAAAAAAAAACAACAACAACAATAACCTCTATTTCTTCCTGCTGCTACCACCTTTTCGCCTTCTTTGCGGTTTTATGCTTTGCACTGGCGGAAGCAGAGGACGTTGACGGAGTTGCCTTTTTCACCACGGGCTTCTTTTCATTCTTTTTCTTCGTCATCTTCTTATTCTCCGGCGGCCTCTTCGGCTTTGCTGCAACGGACTTTGCTGACGCCTTCGGTGCCCCTTTCGAGACTGTCTTTGCCGATGCCGCCTTAGTGGCCTTCGATGTGGGCACCTTCGCGTGGGCGCCCTTACCTCGTGAGGCTGCCGCCGCAGACGCATGGTCTTTGCCGCCCCCTCGCTTCCTCTTCGCCCTGGACTTGCCTTTAGCCGCAGACGCCGGCGCCGGCGTCTGCGGTGGTGGTGGTGGTGGTGGTGGTGATGTCGCTCGACCCTTTCGAGTTGGCGCCACGGCATGCTTTGGTGGTGCGTTTAGCCACTCTGAGAGTTTATTCGGTTTCTTGCTGGTTCGTCGACTGTCGCCCTTTGATCGCCGCACTGATTGCCCAATGACATCGGCCCAGAAACCCTTTCGGTCTCCGGCACCTGTTTCGGCCTCCGCCGGACTCATGTTATATGCCGTGATCTTTGTAAGACCTGCTTTCCTCATGAAATTTGATACCCCTTCATTAGCGCCCTTCGGGGTCTTTGCGTACATCTGGTTAATATCCTCGTCTAACGATGATGCATCGGAGGGCTGCTGCGCCTTCATCGAGAGATTCTTTTTCGTAATGAGTGGCCGACTCCGTGGGCTAGAGACGGGGTCCACAAACAAGTGATTACCTGGAGCCGCCACACCACCTCGTGGTGTCATCCGGTACGCTGACTGCACCCGCTGTTGTTGTTGTTGTGGCTGCTGTTGCTGCTGCTGCTGGGCGGAAACGCCGAAGGAACTGCCGTCGCCGCCAAATGCCCTTCCGGACGACGACGACGGCATGTGCGGCGACAACCAAGAGAGATGCTGCGCCGCCATGGAGTTCCCCGGTGCAGGCGCCACGGGTGGCTGTATCGCACTCCACGAAGATGCCCACCCCGATGTCGACGCGGTGTTTGTTGCCGCCGTGTTTTCTGACGTACTCCACCCATCGTAACCGAACCGAGGTGATTCGAGGGCAAAGGAAGATTGGACGGCGGCTGGAGCATGAACATCCGTGGAAGAGGCTTGGGAGTCGAGTCGAGGAAGGTTTGTTCGACGTGGCCGAAGTTGCTCTTCCGTGTTGTTGTTGTTGCTGCTGCTGTTGGCCGTTTCACTTGCATGAGGATCCGGTTGCGCCACGTTATGCCACGTGTTGGGCAACCGGCCTGGGTCAAACAATTTCATGTACGATAACCCCGGGGGAGACTCTGTCGCACGCGGCTCTTCTGATGGCTGTGCTTGGACCACCGGAGGGGTAGACGTCGCTGGCTCTCGCTGCGTCGTACTAGAACTCGACGCGGTACCGAAGAGGTGCCATAGTCTCGTACCTGAGTGTGTGGCAGGCGTAGTGGCAGTGGGCACCGCGGGCGGTGCGACCGATGCAGACTCCGCGAGCTGTTCCTGAGTAACGTTGTGGCTGGCTCTGGTGACATTCTCCTGAGCCTCTCCGGCAGCCTCGGACGCCCCTGCGTTTGTCGTTGGTGGGTGAAGAACACCCTTCGCAACGAACGCTGCAGCGGAGGTGTCGAATACTGGCACGGCTCCCGCGTTGCACGTCGATGACGACTGAGATTGCTGCTGCTGCTGCTGCTGCTGTTCTTCGGCTGGTGGATGCAATGGTAATGGCGGTGACGTTGCGTCGGCGGCAGCGTCTTGTGGCGAGGCCCCAAAAGGGTCAACGTCCAACGCCACGTTCACGTCATAGGACGGCGGTGGTATTGCAGGCGTCACGGTCCCCAGTGCCCGGACTGCCCTCAACGTGAAGCGGCCCACCCGCTTCGGCTCCACCTCCTTCGGGAAGGACATGCCCAAAACGGCATCCCGCAACTCCGTGGGATACATCGCCGCGTTGTCGCGCACGGCGGCCACTAATGGTGTGAGCTCCGTCAGCGGTGGATTTGGCATGCCGTGCTGCAGCTGCGCTAGGAGGACCGTGGTCTGCGCCGCCTCCTCGTCTGGCTGTGCCATACGGCTGTAGGCGCCGCGGACGATCTCCGTGACTGTCTGCTGCAGCAGGGGCTGCTGTGCCACCTCCCCATACACCTCTCGCAGCGACGATAGCAGCCTTTGAAGCTCGCGCGGCCGCGCGTTATGCGTGTGGCGCAGCATTTTCTCGTTGAAGAGCGCTATCCAGTCGGAATTAGGGTGCATCTTGCGGAGCGGACGTACCGCCTCAAGGTACCGCAGCACCGTCCTTAGCTGAATCTTTTCATCGCCTAGCAGCTCCACTCCACCCGTGAGAACAAAGTCGACCATCGCCTCGTCTGACTCCTCACCAAAGGTGCTCGTGAGAAGCTCGACAAGCGAAACATACTGCTCAGGTGAAATGGATACCGCCTTGGCTGCCGCCAGCGCCTTAACGGAATCCCGGGCATGGGGTATGCCCGAGGCCAGCGGCAAGCTGTACAGCGTATCTGTCGTCCACTCTGCTTCGGCAAAGCGGCTTGACAGGTACATAGTGCAGGCCGTCAACAGGTCCTGTCGTCCAGAGGCCTGCACCACGCGCAGGTCATCCGGTGAAAATAGATCCTGCGCCGCGCTGAGGCGTGCTGTGAGTTCGGCAATGACAAGACCCTCAACGTTGACACCTTTTGCCAGAGTCATGGCATCCACCAGCTGCCGACTAGATATCTCCTTGTAGTTGATCTGCGAGTGGAGGGTGTCATCCTCCGGGAAGGCCATTGTCAGCATCAACCTTGTGTAGCTGCTGCAGTCAGAGTTGAGCAGGCGCGCCGCCACCACCTTCGCCTCAGGCATCCAGGCAGGCGCCATAGAGACAAATGTGGCACATATGTGGCTGATCTCGGAGAGAGAAAACTCCCCCAACACCGTCTCAATACGCTCGCCGAGCTTCACCGCCAACTCCCGCGAGAGGAGGTGTGAACGACGGAGGATGCCAGACGCCATGGCGAGCTGCTGAGGCTCAAAGCGGGTAACGTTATTCGCAACGTAGCCTTGGTAGGCGACGAAGACGTGCCTGTAGCGCAGTCGCCCACCCATTTCGTAGGCAAAAGCAATGGAAGTGATATCGTCACAGTGTGTCCAGTAAATTTTGTCGTTGCTGTCCAACAGCCGTAAAACACGCGGCTCATACTCCTCTAGAAGCATACTCATTCGTCCACCGAGTTCCCCCACGTCACGCTGAGTTACAGCGTCTTTTCCTGCTTCCAGTGATCCTAGCATGCGGGCAAACGATGCAAGAATGGACGCCACATCGCGTCCATTAGCATTTGTTGCGTACATCAGCCCCACACGTGCCATGCGATGGAGCAATGGGAGCGGCAAAGGGGAAAGCAGATGGTGGCGAAGGCATGAACTCATTAGTGTGGAGAAGTCGTAGCCATGGAAGTCGCCTGTATGCTCCACAAGGGCAAAAAGCAGGTGATTCGCCTCCGCCACTTTGCCAACGCGAACCATCCAACCGTACACTCGCAGAAGCGAGACTTGAAGGTGAGGCAACTCTGTCGCCGGCGTGCGCTCTAGTTGCGCCATCACCATCTGCGACAAGGATTCATTTAGTACGCTGGGAGCATGCTTGCCATTGCGCTGCATCACCTTCGCCGCAAGCTCAACGATGTTCCACCGCATTGTGAGGTCTCTAACATTGTTGCTGTTACCGTTGTAGGCGTTGTCTCGGGCGGCCTGCTGCAGCACACCCTCTACCGCGACGAAGATGCGCTCCATGTACTGCTCCCCACGCGGGGACAATGCGATGGCCGCATGGAGACGCGTGAGACCGTCGACATGGGTGTCCTCCATCAACCGCACAAGTTTGTTTGTGACGAGGGTGAGCAGAGTAGCGTCGGGATCGATTTCAAAAAAACTTAGCAGCTGCGACAAGGCCAGCGCATTCGTGCCCTTTTCCATCCACACGTGCGTCGCACTCTGTGGGACCTCCGCCTCAAGGAACCTCTCCGCCTCACGCCGGGCGAATTCGTACTGTCCGCGGCCTCGAAGCCGGCGCTTCAGGGCCGCGGCCTTGCTGACGAACTCCGTGGCCGTAGCGTACCCGCCCACGTCAGCCCCGCCGCTGTTACTGCTATTATTAGGCAAACTACCACTACTGGTGCCGCCGCCGTTTCTGCTGTTGCCCCAGCCAAAACCTAAGCGATGCGTGGCCGCAGTGGACCACAATAACACGGGACGAACATACTGCATCCCCTCCCGTGCACCGACGATGACTCTATTTCTATTTCAAGTTACAGGGCGCCCCGTGGCGACAGACAGCGCGATATTACAAAAGCGGCGAAATAAAGCAAAAGGGTTAATGTCTCCGCCCTTGCTGATGTTGTGTTATACTCCCTTTGGTGTTGTTGCTTGCTGTGTTCTCCTCGGCTTACTGCTGCTGTTGTTGCCTCGCTCGCTGCACACCACCACCACCGCCCACACTGTCGCTTGCTGCTCAACAATGCGGCCGTGCGGCTGTCAGTGTGATGATCGAGAGGAAACGTAAGGCCGACGCCGACGCGACAAGACAAAGCAACGTCTATGGGGGTGAGGCAACACGCACACAAGAGCTGCTTCACTCGCAACTGCCGGAGCCCTTGGAGATTAGTGTAAGCGCGAGTATATATATATCTGCGTGCGTGTGGAGAGAAACGTGGGCTAGTGAGTGAGCGGAACCACACACACGCACAGGGAGAACGACTGGGAGGCAGACGACGCTGCGGTCAATTCCCCTCAACACCCTACGACCTCCCCTCACAGCAACAGGGAAGGAGACAAACGTGGAAGAAAGACGGCGGGTAATTTCACGTACAGTCAAAACCAACAAGGGCAGAAAGAGACAGCAGACGCAACAAACAAACAAAAAACCGCAGTCCCCGCATTATCTCCAGCGCAAACTCGTGTGTGTGCACCAGCAAGCAGAGAGCGAAACATCTACTGAGAGCGAGAAGGTGAAAGGGACGTCCACGCATACAGCCAGAGGAAATGCGATTGCTAGAAGTAAAGAAGGAGGGCTGCGGCAACAACACGGAAAAGGAAGAATAATAAAAAAAAAAGAGACGGGGATGGAGGAAATAAATACGGTACGCCATGCCTGCCACCTTCAGAAGACGACAGCGTAACCACATGCGCTCACAAACACACCACACATGCAACCGCCACGCATCCACCGTCATTCCCCCCTGTAAGTCACATTTTCACTGATCGCAGACACGAGTAACGACATCACAGAAAAACAAAACACTGTACAAAAAGGCAAATAAGAAGAATTAAAATAAAACAAGCGACTTACAAAAAGCTAAATGGGTCCACCGAAGCATATATATATATATACATAGAGAGAGAGAGAGGCTAAAATATACAACAACTGCACTGCGTCCCCAGGTGGTGCAGCCAAGTAAACAACTGATCCACGCGTTTTTTTTTTATTATTACTCGAAGCAATTCATTGCTCGTAGTCTCACTTCCACTCTTTTCGTTTTTCCTTCCTTTGCCCGTCCTCTCACTTGAGGCACCTCAACTCTCCTTACCTCGTGTATATGGTAACAGTAGAGGCGGAGCATGCGGCAGATCCACGTAGTGTCCATCCGAGCTAAAGAAACCGCATTGTGTATTCTCATCACGTGCGACGCAGGGAGCAGGCCTCCCCAACATCACTACTGGGTTAACTTCGCATCGCATTTGCCTTGCAGCCTCACGCCTCAGTGACATACGCGTCCGTATCGATAGAGGTGCCTGCAACTCCCTATCCATAATATCCGCTGTGTCCAACATGTTGGGTGGTGTACGCAATAGCCCTGCATCTGACTGCGACGACGACGGCATCGCGCCTAACCTGCGGGTGTTATCGATGCCTCCACGCATGCCACCCCCAGACACCTCCCCAAACCACTGGTGGGATAACAATTCCTTTGCCTTGGGTCGTAGTCGCGCGTCACGAACAAAACAAAGGTCTAAAAATGCACGGAGAGACGCTGAGGCTTCACAGTTGTCCGGGAGACGTGGGGGTGTTCCATTGGCAGCTGCAATGGCGAAGAGCACCGCGGCAGGGTTCCTCATTTCTCCCCCAAAGGGCTTCTTACCAGAAATCATCTCAAACACGGTAACACCGAGGCTCCAGATGTCGGCAGAGGTAGTGTAACCAAGTTTCTTAACGTCTGCTTTACTGCAGCCACTTCTAATGTCACCCTGGCTCTCACCTGCGTCTTCGTCAATCGCGTCATCCGCGTCGCCGCCGACCACCTCGGGCGCCATGTACCAGGGCGTCCCCACTGTCGTTCGCATGCTAGAAGTGTCGTCAAGGAGCTTGCTTACCCCAAAATCCGTCAATTTGCAGCGTCCATCTGCGGTGATCAGCACGTTGGCTGGCTTGACATCCCGGTGGCACACCCGTGCCGTGTCGTGCAGGTACGCCAAGCCCTCCAAGATGTCGTGCGTGTAGGAGCGCACGACACTCTCACGAAGCGAGCCTTGGCGGCGAATGAGTGCATCGAGGGAACCGCCGTTGATAAACTCCATAATTATTTGCACACCAACCGCACTGCGGCGAGCCCCGTAGTACGTCACAAGATTGGGGTGCTCAAACCGCTCCATAAGGGTGATTTCCCGCACGATGGCCCGCCGCTCCTCAGCGAGCACGGGATCCTCCTCCGCCGCATCGTCGCCAGTACCAACGCCCCCGCCGTCGAAGAAGGGGATCTCCTTCACCGCGACGAACCTGCCGCTTTCCGCGTCGTACCCCTCGTACACGACGCCTCTCGCCCCGACGCCCAACTTTTTGTTTGTCTTGCGGACGTGCTCCATTTCCCCCGTCCGATGCAACCCGCAGGCACACACACGCACACACTGCTGGAGAAGGGTGTCGAGGGGCCCAGAACCGACAACAATAACAAAGCTAGAAGAAACGACAATGATGACGAAAATAAATCCGCCCGCAGGTGCGGATTAAATTCAGCCGTGCAGAGTGTGATTGGGCGGGAGAAGGCGGAGGAGTAAAAACACAGTCAATTTACTTGTGCAGGACTATCTTTACAGGCGAAGTACCAGACAACTAATTCCAGACCTCAGCGAAAAAGAAGAAAGAGGAATAAAAATAGGGGACACGGAAAAGAAACGCAAAATAAGCGGAAGTGCAGCATCAACAGCAAAAAGGAAGATGCATAAATTGATCACCGGGGTGGAACGTGGATGTGAGGAAGGAGAGAGAAGATGCATATGCCAAGAAGAAAAGGGCACACATGGAAAATGGGCGGCTGCCTGCATCCACAGCGTGCTGTCTCAGTTTTTTTCCCGCACGGCGGGTGTCAAGAATCTCTTTCTCTCTCACTCTCTCACACACACCTCACCATGCAAAAGAAATGAACTTTTAATATCTCCTTCCATCAATTTCGTGTGATGTGTGTGTGTCATTGGATTCCTCCCCCTTTCTCTCGTTGTGAGCCCTTTTTTTTTTTTGTTGTGCCCCTGGCACCTCGCTCTGACAAAGCAGCTACGCCATGTCGTGCACGACGCGGTGGGCACGTAGTACAACATGCAGCAAATACGACTCAATCGTCTTGTCATCTGCGTTGTTGATAAAAATCCACATTGGCCAGCGTCCCTCCATCTGTCCCTCAGGCAGACTAAGCATGTCAAGCTGCAACGCAATAAACTGTGTATCGCCAGGGGCCAGAGCAAACTGCTTCGGCGTGATACGGAGCTGGTATTTATAGTTCTGGTGCACCGTAAACACTTCCTCCCTCACTCCACGATGTACGAACTGCAGACGGCGGAATATCGGCGCTGTGGTGTCCGCCAGGCCAAATTCCAACGTCTGGGTGTACGTCGGTGTGGGATACACGGTGGGGACCGTCAACAAGGTCTTGGCCAGGTGGTGATTTGTTAGCGCGTGCAACAGAAGCTGCTGCGTTCCCACCTCTGGTGGTCGCAGATGCAGCAAGTAGGCACCTTCGCGCCGCTCCACCTTCACGTGAGGGTGATTGCAGTAAAGTGCCTCTACCCCAGCTGCAGGGAGGGAAACCGTCGTCGTCTGCCCAAAGAGCAATTCACGCGAGGTGACGGCCTGGCAGGCAAAGAAACAGAGTTCCCACGTCTCAATCACTTCACTCATGGCAGCATCTTTGTATAGGACCAAATACTCCGTCCGCAGCACGTTCTCATCATGTGGGATTGTCGTGTGCACCGTGACCTCCTCCCATGCGGTGATGTACGTCTGTGTGATGGGGTCGAGCACGGCGTTCGCCTCCGCCGTCGTAGTCTCCGAGTTGATAGAGATGCGGGCACACAGGTCGCGCATGCGTACAAGCAGCCTTGCCCTATCAGAGGTGATGGGAAACATGGCGGAGGAGAAGAGCCGCGAGAAGAGCTTTTTCGAAACCTCCGTCCCTGCCGGACCATAAATCTCAAAGCGACGGTCCACCACCGGTGGGCCCACGGTGGCGTGGATGTCAACGATGCACACCACCTCGCGCCCACCACTAAAAAGACGGGCACGGAGGTGTTTGGGTTCGCCGCCTCGTGTGTCTCCCGTCGCGTTGAGCCGGACGGCGAGAACCACCTCCGTGCGTTCTCGTGGGCCGAGGTAAAAAGACGGAGCAGTGACGGTGCCCAACGCGCCCTGCGCGGCGGTGTCCACCTCCACAGCAAACTGCATGGCAGAGCTAAACGGATTTTGAAACGGCGTACGCGTCAGCTCCGGGCGATAGGAGGTGACACATACATAATGGTGCACCGTCAGTCGCTCCACCAACGCCTCCGCAATCTTGCGGGACTTCATCTCATCCCGCTGCTTGTCAAGATAGCGCAGGCGGAACTCCAGGTCCCCTTCCCGCGAGCGATGCTCCTGCGGCACTCCGGGTAATGTCGTTCCATTGCCGTACACCTGCTTCACATGCTGCGCGCGGCGCCAATGCAGGTCCGACGTTGCCCCGTTTGCATCGGAAGCTGCATACGCTATCTGCTGCTGCTGCCCCTGCAGTGATGCGGAGGATGGGGGCATTGAAGAGGCTTGGGATGCCCTCCGCACCGCGTTCGGCGCGTGTGCAGCACCCGTTTCCGCCGACGCCTCCACGCCTGCATCTTCCTTGCTTCCTTCCATAAAATTTTGTTCTATGAGGCTTGCATGCGGCAGTTTTTTTGCAACAATCACCCGCGGACCTCTTGACGGCTCCACAATTTTGTTTTGTGACTGTGCGGTGAACCCTCCCTTGGCGGCGACGCAGAAGAGCGTCACGTGCATCTGGCCAACGTTGCGCACAATAGGGAACACCTTCGATGGTATGTTTTTCTCCGTGAGGCTGAGGTCACGGTAGAGCGGGATATCCATCGGAATGCATGCGTGTTCCGCGTTGTAGGGGCGGCGAAAGTGCGCTAGCTGCATCGCCACACTGCCAACGTAAAACATAGTGAGGGCGTTGTAGACATGAATGTAGAGCGTCGCATCTGTGGACTGACGGTACTTCTGCATAAAAGGGTCCTCCGCCGCCTCAAGTGGCTCACACCACACCATCCCACCACGCTGCGCCCCCTCGTACAACTTAAACGTCCGCAGCTGCGGGGTTTTTTCTATGCACGTGGTACGAGCGGGGCCAATCGTCTGCAGCGGGAGAGAACCAAATGAAAAAATGAAGCAGACATCCTCTGGCACATCCATGGCGGCGTCCATGGTGAGACCCTCAAAACGAATACCGTCCAGTGACGTCATCATGTCCTGGCCACATGACAGCACCTGGTCCTCAAGACGCGTGCCTCGTAAGGGATGAAGTATGGGCTGCAAGCCCTCTTCAAGACGACAACGCGTTTCCCACGAGATAGCAACAGACATGGGGGAGAGATCAACCACCTCAATGCCTGCAGCATCGTCTAACCGCCTACCAACCTCATCAGCAGGTACAACGGATGCCTTCCTTGTAGATCCGTGCCGCATGGCTGACTCCTGCATCTCACGCAAGCGACGCAGCTCTTCCATGATCTCACAAAGCATTTTGAACACGTCAACTGAGGCGCGATCTTCGGTGAGGCGTTTATCCGCGGCAAATGCATCACGGGAGGGATACGTAAGCTCCACAGATGGTGAAGCTTGCGACGTTGATCCTTTCGTCGTCCCCTCCAAACCAGCAGGTTGCGCAGCGGCCGCCCCCGGTTCTTCCGTCGATATAATCCCCATTGACTTCACCAGTGCTCCAATCGGAGGGGGAAAGCTTTGCATGATATCATGCGCCTCCGCCAATAATTCCTTTCTGCCGCCCTCCCTGTCTGCTGGCTGCTTCACTTCCTCGCCGACTGGCTGCGAGGTGGGCAACAACGCCGGAAGCTGATCCACAACAAGAGTGTCGTGGTACTCCACCGTCAGTGTTATGGTAAGTGGCAGCTTGCCGTACGGTGACGAGGACTCCAACATCAACATCCGCGGGTCACGGCAGGAGAAGGGCCCCTGGAGCGTGGGTAGGTTCTCTACATGAATGTCGCGATCCTTCATGGGCATCACGCACAACGGGAAAACACCGAATCCAAGCACCTCGAAACGCTTCTCGTCCGCCCTCCTCCGTCGTATGGCAAATACCAAGGACGTCGTCGAATGCACAGGAAGCCCATCTATTTCTAACGGTGTAACGGAGTGCACAAGGCACGACGACAACCGCGTCGTCTCTTCCAAAGAGACATATGTGGAGGTAGAAGTAGAGGTGTAGCTAGATTTGGAGGCGGTAACGCTGCGACTGCTGGTGGTGGTAATTGAGTTGGAGTTGGGAGGCGACGGGGCGAGGTCGTCGTCAAACACCAGCGGGATCTCAGCGCCCTGTCCAAGCTGCTGGTACCCATTGTGCGCCACCGCGGCAACGCGCCACTCCGCCGTTTTGTCACGCCACTCCGTGTTCTCCAGTGTGGGGTGGAGCTGAACATTACGCACAACGCAGCGAAAGGACTTGGCGACGGCTTGCGGTGTGTTTTCCGTAAAACTCTGCGTGACGATAATGCCAGGCGGCACCAGACGCGACATGAGCTGCGTCAACACAACATCCCTCACAGACGTGCAGGTGTACTTCAGACTGACAGCCCTGTCCGCGGCATTAACACACGGCCATGACGTGGCGTTCAGCCGAAGCAGCTGGGCGCTGCCGGGGCGTAGCTCGAGGGTGTGCGAGGCACACACCTCCGTCAGCGGGACATAACCCCACAGCAGCACGCGTCGTCCCCCCACCGGCGCGTCATGCCGTGCATCTCGGGCCACTACCTCCACCGCCAAAACCATATCCTCCGCACGGCTGCGAAACAGAAGCGGCTCTGCCATGGCACTTCGCGTCACGGCGTACGTGGCCCCAACGAAGCTGCAGGCCACCTTGTCGTAGAAGGTCATGTGCAGAGCAATCACGTCGTTGGAGGCAGGCACCATCGGCCACTCCTCCCACAGAAGCCGCAGCGTGAGCAGGGTACCCGCCACGGCCTCACTCGAGGCCCGGCATTCCCATGTGTCGTGCCGAATCGCACTCGACAGTAACACGCGGGCGGTTTGTTCCGCCGAGCGACTGCGACCCATTCCGCGCCCCCGTCGTTTCCCCCTCAGCTCTTCCTTCTTGCGCCCAATGAGGCCCAGCAACCCGCAGCCACATGTCAAATGCAAAACGAGTGAATAATAATGTAAAAAATGCGTAGGCGACATCAGTTCAGAGAAGTAAATGCAATTTCCTGTCTGCAGCAAAGCAGGCACACATACACACGCAACAAGTTTGTCCTACAACCATAAATGTTGCAAAAAATATACCCAAACAAAGAGGGGATAATACAAACGTTAACGTCAACGGATTAAACAAATAAGCAAACACAAATTAAAACGACGTCGTCCTGAAACACCTCCTGCAAAAATATCATTAATTCCAAATAATAAAAAAATACAGAAATAAAATAAAAACCCCAATGAGACAAGACTCAATGAGTCGTGTGTGTGTGTGAAGGGGAGGAGGAGGGGGGGAGTCGCGAAGCATCAGGAACATTGTCCCCCCCCCCCCCTCCTCCCCTTCACACACACACACAATTTCTCTT